TCCAAAACATTTTTCACAACTCTTTTGTTTGCCATTTCCTCCTCTCTTACTCTTGCTGTTCTTGTGGGTTTATGCCTTCTTGAGAAATACTGTTCTGTTGTTTCAGTCAGATTGTGTCAGGACACTAAGCCAGACCTGTGTTTAATGTGTCATTTTTTGTTTCTGTCAGTCTGCCATCTTTGACCAGAAATTCTTCATTTCTGTTTATTTGGCCTTATTATGTTTTCTGAAATTCATTTCTAGAATATCATTGGGTTAAACAGACAAATTCCTATAGAAGAGCTGTGAAGTTACCATGCTTCTTTATCATGAGTTCACAAGCAGTTCTTATTTTTTTAAAAATTTTAACATAAGTAACTAAGAAAGAGAATTTGGTAGAATTATAACAATAGTCCTAATAGATAATTTTAGTAATTATTTCTCTAAATTTGCTTACACAATCACCTAAAACTTCTTCCATTTCATTTCAGTATCCTTTCTTCTTATCTGGTCTTCCATAAACTCAAGAAAGACAAAAACTGGTAAAATTTATACAAACATTATAAACACCCCTCCCCCCAAAAAACCTCTACAAAATTAACCCCAAATGTCTAGAGCAACTAATTTCAATTCTGTCCTCTGTACACCAAACAAACAAATGTAAAAGGGATAGCAGACTACATCTTTAGAGATATTAGCAAAGAGGATGTACCAATAAAAGTAGTAGGGAAACTGTAGGGAGCTGTAAAAGAGAAAACAAATACAATAAATGATGTGAACACTACTGTCCCTTGCCTCTTACTACATAGATCCTTGGCAGCAGTGTGAGGGACTTGAACTTTCCTGGTGTAAGGTTCCAATTAATCCAAGTCAGCCATATTGACCTACTTGAGTATCAGCAAGTGATTGAAGCATCCAGTGCATGAATGAGCTTTCTTGGGCTACTGGTTTTGGTTCAGCACTAGGTCTGTATCTATTTAGGACAAACGATACCTAAAATAGGGTTTGTTAGGATATTCTAAGGAAACTTTCATGATCTTGAGAACCACAGGCTATACCAGCTTTTTGCTACTTTCTTTCAAATGCAGTGGAATGTATGAATATGAGGCTGAGAAATGCTGTAGTATTCTTGCTGGCAGTCTGGGGATGAAGTTAGTTGCTCCACAAAGGAGGATAATAAACAAGCTTATCTGAAAGCCTACCCTGCCCGACCTATATGCAAGTGAGCATATATGTTTGTTTTTTTTTTTTTTAAACCAGTTTGCAGGAAGGACTGTAGTAACTTGCAATTGTAACTTGAGGTATAGACTATTACTGATAAAGTATATAATCCATTGACTGGTGAGCTCCATCCTAATAAAGGCAAAAAAGGAAAAAGTTACATTTCTTTTCACTAAAAGAAATGTAACATCCATTTACAGAATTCTTCCCTGCCTAAGAAATAACCCTTTCAGTAACAGTGAATGAAGAAACAGATCCTTGCCTATATAAAAATCTTTCTAACTGCATTTAAAAAAAGTAAACTCAAGAAGAATTTTATGCAGAGAATTAACTCTCAAGCCCACAACTTGAATTCAGCTATGCTACTGAGAACAGTGTTTTCTGATCTAAGTATGCTGGCCTCTGGGATGGAATAAATCTCCAGTGGAGGACTGTTCCATGAATTACATATCTAAATCCAGAACTAAATAACTGACTCTAACAAACCTTCCTTCATCCATGTACCCTAAGATACCGGCTCCAGCTGAAAATCACTAATGTAAGAGAATAGGTTATATTCTCATATATATATATATATATATATTTGGCAGTTTTTTCAATAAATTAACATGAAATGATTCCATATCACAAAAAGGTATCACAGCAAACATGTTATAAGACCCATCACATTGACATGACAACATTTTACAGGATCAAATAATAAGAGTGGTAGAAAAAGAAAATATATTGGCATATTTGTGTTTCTAACTGTCAAGTTCTTTTGACAGTTAACTAAAGTAAAGGGGAAAAATATTATCAAAATATTTCTCTTTCACTCTGTAAATGTTTCTTAGTATTAAAGTTAATATTTTTATTTTCTTTTTAATTTTGAGTGAGAAATTGTGATAGGCACAGGGACTCATGTTCTCACAATCTAAATACAAATATCATTAATGACTGAAGCACTAATTACAGAGTATGTCATTACTCTGTGATAAGTGACAAGTGAAGATTCAGACAATAACTGCTGAGAGACTCAGGAACATTCTTTGCTGGAACAATTGAGAAAGGCTCACTGTGGAGGCAGAACTTGGGACACAGAGAGGAGGAGGGACGGTCACCAGAGCTGGAGGGAAAAGCCTACGCAGGATGAAAAATACCAAGGTGAGCAAGAGTACAGTGCTGGGGATGGACTTACCTGAGAGTGGTTGAAATTGAATGGCAGGCTGGGAAGCCAACCATAGACTAAAAAATGCAAATCATACCCTGCAGGCCATAGGGATTAATGATTATTCTTGAGCAATGGCAGAAAGATAAAATAAACAATTTAGAGGGGAATGTAGGGTTGAACAAAATTCAAAAATAAAACTTGTATTGATGAATAGGATATATACCTGAAATGGCTTATCTGATTTTCTAAAAGGGAAGAGAGTCTCTCTTTTATTTCCTCAAATTTCTCCTTTTCTTCTACTGAAACTGTTCCAATTCCATCCGGCCTGGAAAAAAAAATCAGATTCAGTAATTTGTATTGGTAAGTTACTTTTATGTAGTACACACACACACACACACACACACACACACACACACACACAAACATTAAAAAAATAAAAAAAAAGGATGAAGGAAAATTAAAACCAGAGA